CACCAGTTTATTTTCTTTTTGTTGCTTTTCTCTTCCTTTCTTTTGAGCAGCTAAGCAAAGCGATCATTTCACACTTTGGAAATGGACTTTACAGTGTCTGTACGGTACGACTGAATTCCATCATTGTGTATCCAAGCTTTAATCAAATTCACACAACTCTATTGTAAAAAGGAATGCAGTGTAGAGATAAATATTTAGCAGAGATTTCAAGCAGAAGTAAAAAGGAAAAAGCAAACAGCTGTACAAAGATTACCCCCCCCCAAAAAAAAGAGATTGGTGCAGCTTTAAAAGTCTCTGGTATGGGGTTTAAGCATTTCCCCTCATATAAACGTAATGATGAATAAAAATTATCCAGATTTCAAGCCATTGTTCTCATCTGTGCTGTCACTTTTTTGCGTGGGGGAGCGACGTTAATAGCATAACACCGTGGGGAGATTTATTCCAGGACTATGAGTTCCATAATTGTGTGTATGTGTATCGCTATGTGAACCGCATGGGGCCTTTTTACCAATGTTTCTTCTCAATAAAGCCAACGGAGCAGGAGGCAGTGGCTCACTTTGTTCCCCACAAAATGCTCTTCAGTGGAATTCGATGGGGGCAAAAAAATAAAATCAAGAGATGCGCTGACAGTGTGAGAGTGTGCGCTCACCTACACACTGACGCTATTAAAGCAAACACTTTAGTATCTCCGCAGCTTTACCTTTTCTCACAGATTCTTACGTAAGACACGCACCGGCTTAACAGACACAAACGTGCATATGTGTGCTTCCGCTGCACGCACACACATTGCTCCCCAGCTGTTGGTGTGTGGTGCGCCAAGCGGGACGCCCCTACACAGAAATGTCAGCGCGGCAGGGAGCTGGGAAAAGGAGGTTTGATCAATGGAGCCCTGCTCTCGATGGCCACGCTGCTCCGCGAGGCTCTTTGATTACATATTGCTTTGCTTCCTAATGAAGCTCAATTACTGGAGGAGAACGACGGCTTTGCCCTGGAGTTACAGGGAATAATGGCCACAGTCTCTTCTGCCTCTCTTATATCTTTTCCCCTCTCTCGCTTTCGTTCTCGTTGATTCTTGCTCCTGCATATTCACAGCACAGCTCCACTTGTTCCCTTTTTGTATCCCCTGCTGCCCTCTGTCCTACTCCGCCTGTGTCGCTCTTGGGTGTTAAAGAGGGTTGTTGTGGATAAAATGGTCGATTAGCAGTGAATTAACAGCGAGCTGCGAGACTAGCAGAGACGCCATTAACTCTTTTTTTTTTTTTTTTTGACGCGCTGGTCATACGCACAAGATGAAGCAGGTGTCCTGGTTTAGTTCAGGACAGATCAAGTTCATTAGGGATCACTTCATCTCAATTCAGTTCAACTTTAACCTGAGCTGCCATCTTTACAATATGGCCCCATCACTAGATGTCATACCAAGCTTTAGGTCTTTCTGCCTCGTATATTTAATCTAACTCTAGATGTTTTACTCCCGCAATGGACATCATCGGTGCCTCAATCAAGTTCACAGGTTAAAGTCTTTAAGTTCTGGCATAATTTAGTTTTACCGTACCTTTAATTTCTCCGACGTGCCCTGAGCCCATGGCCAAAAGTTTATCCTTCCAGTCCTTTGACAACAGCCTCTCAATGCTGGGGGCCTCTGTTTAGGGGAGGATGAGGGGCAGGGGGGGCAGGGGAGAGGGAGAGAGAGAGGGATTCAGATGGCTGGCCAACATGACAATAAAGCTCATTTAAAGTCCATTTGCTGTAATAAAGGCAGCAGCGGCTCAGCCTAATGGCCGCATCAGCAGGAGAGAGAGGGAGAGAAAGGCGGAAAGAGAGGAGCTGATAATCGAAAGAGAGGAAATCTGAAAAACAAAAACAAGTGAGCGAAAAAGGGAGAGAGCGAGGGAGCGCAACGCAAGATAAAGGGAGAGACAAGTGGAGGAGATGGGGGGAGAGAGAGAGAGACGAAAAAAGAGAGGCTTTTTTCCCTCTCACCTGCTGCTAGAGAATCATTAGCCCTGTGGGTCCTGAGACAAAGAGGGCCTTAATGCACCCGCCACAATGGACACATTATCAGCTAGTGCTTTGTTTTCAACACACACTCCACACAGACCCTTACAGGCGCACGCACACACGCACACGCACAAACCGCTACCTAAACACACACTCGCAGACTCACTAATTACAATCAAACTATGGTAACAGTTGTGCACACAAGTACACATACAGTGAGGGAAATGGAAATGTCACACGGGTGAGTGTACACTTGGAAAGATCCAATCCTAAGATGTGTGCACATATAAGCACCGGAAAAAAACAAACGCATACACAGATATACGGCCATGAACCTAGAGTAGTCGCCCTGTTGGCTGTGATTGACGTGAACGAGGAGGAGAGAGGAGTGATCAGACAAAAGAGGGAGAAAGAAAGAGAGAGTACTTTATTTACTGGGAGCCATCTGCACTTGGGATGTGAGGCCTTCCTAAGGAGAGAGGTTTTACACTTTGAGTAGGGAGATTAACCCTATCAGCCAATGCAAACACACACACACTTGAATGTGCTCATACAGTATATGTGGCTCCACACATAGATGTATTCACACTTGCAAACGCTGACAGCAGGAAAAAAGTTTGTTTGTCCCCAGATTATTTTCCTCCCCCTATAATGACGAGACTGATTTAAGAAAAGTCTTAATCTCGCTGGTGTGAGACAGCCTGCATGCATAAACCCATACACATGCATACTGATGCACAAACACTCAGGTTTTCCACAGAGGAGAGACGGGGGGGATGTCCGGTGTGTTGAGTTGAACAGCTTAGTGCATCTTTTCCTCTAAAAGAGACACGAATGTACACATCTTCCACACTCAACAACAAATCAGAGTACACAAAAAAGCAGCACTTTGCCAAAACTTCTCTTTCCTTCTCATCCGTCTATTTCCCTTTCTGTCCACAGTGGAGTGTTGACAAACCACCTGGAGATTTAAAGGATTTAAACGACACCCGATCACCTGCAAACCTGCACGCGAGTTCCCCTCACATAATCACACACACTCAAAAAATAGCGCACATTAATTTCTGCTCCCCTCAAGGCCCGAATCAGGTCCTTTCCTCTGGCGTGGAGACGACAACATCCATGCCCTGCTGATTACAGTGAGCACACATTTGCAAAAAAACCACACACCTCGGGATCAACGCTGAACTTCGAGCCAAGTCCACTTCTCACTTTTTCCTGTTCGTCTTCCCACTGTCCTTGCCCTGTTCTGTCCTTGAGTTTTCAACGCTGCCACTTAACCAGTAAGACAGCAGCCCTAGTGCTTTCACTCAGAAGCCACCGTAGCCTTCAGGGAATCGGTTCACAGCAGGATGAAGGTAGGGCGAAGAGGAGGAGCACGAGTCGATAGAGAGTCTTTTGCAAAAACATGCATAGAAAGAGTAGAAGAAAGAGTGTGCTCCTGTGTCCCCCCCCCACCCTCCACGACAGCTGTCTCACCATCACCCCAACAGGTGCTATTAGCCCCTGGCACTGCCTCTTTCTCTCTCTCCTTATTTTTCTCTGTCTCTCACTCCCCTCCTCCCCCCCAGCCCCCTCTCCCTCAACAATGACAGAGGCTTTTAAGCCAAAGAGCTTTGACAAGTGAGAGGGAACAACAAATGGCAGTGTCGCCTGTTCTCTTTCCATTGCACTCCCTCTCTGTCTCCATCTCCTAGTTATTATTTTTATTTATTAACAGGGCTGCAGCCATTGTCCCCAGTGACAGGCTGGGGCCACTTTAACTATTAATAAAAGCCAAGAGGCTCTTTCATTGTGCGGCGGATGGCAAAATGGGAGGAAATGGGCAGGAGGAGCTGAGAGGGAGAGAAAAGAGGGGATGAGAAGGAAAGAGGGGATGGTGTGCTGTATCTTTTAGTGGGATGTTGATTGATGTGGCGAACACTAAGAGAAATGAACTTCCACTGTCACCCATGACAAACTGCAAAAATACACATACACAGAAATAGAGGTCAATAACCCACGCATACATGTGCGAATCGGTTAAAAGGTCTGTTTGAACCACAGACTGTAAAAGAAAGATGGACATGGAATCTGTGACATCACTCGTTGCTTTCTGGGCTTTGCATTTTGAAGCCACAATATTTGGGTGCTTGTTTTGGTATCAGAACCATATTTGGATGAGAGGGTGGCGTGCTAAGTTATTGGCTTAGACTATCCAGCTATCTCTATAAACTGTATGAATGTAATGCAATGGTGTTCTGTACCACACAGCAGGGTGTGTTATTTACTGCGTAATTTCATTAAAATTCTCCAAAAACCACAAACATCACAGAGACAGCTGAGAAGATCAATTCAGTGACTCAAATTAGTGGTGGTGACACCTGACAGACAGCAACAGACAACATTTGTCTG